GCCTTTAGTCGTCCCTTCAGCATGTCTGTCCGCTAAAGCTCTCTCTCATACTCTCTACGTCTGGTATCTTTTGGCATTTGCTGGGGAGGAGGGTGGTCCTTCAGTGCCGTCACCACTTTCATCCTATGGCCCATCTGGCAGCAGGTGTTGAACAGCGATACCAGCCCAGCCCAACCCATCTGAAGTCTCAGCTGGCCCATCTGGTAGGTACTGCCAAAATAATTTCCAGGCTCCTGTCATATGCTTGCCAAGCTGTTGGCTCAGGTCATCCTTCGGTGCAGGTAGAAAACCCGAGGAAAACTTTCTGACAGCTAGCACAATATTTGGGGGAACAGTTCTATTCTAGTTAGCAAATTTGCTTTACTTGATGAATTTAAGCCAAACATACAATTACAACTAATTTTCAGCATCACGCCCTCCCTGAAGTCCCTGAAATCTTACTTCAAATTGCGTTCTTCATATTCAGTGGTTGGTTAAATTGGTGCTGATCAAGCTTCTGATATAGCATCAGAGAGATGAATTTTGAAACAATTACTGTGACAATTTCCGCAGGATTCTTTATGTTTTAATTGGATATGTTTCCTATAAATATTTTTTCCTTATTTTTATTTCCCAAAAAGCAGTTACTTTTGTCTCACAATTGGTAAGAAATCGTATGTAAAAAAATGGAGGGTGATATTTTTTTTTTTTGCATGTTTGACGATACATTATGAATAAAATTATGGACTGATGCATATTAAGGTACAGGTGTCTTGGTGGGAAATAAACTAAAACTGTGTTTACTTGTGTGTTTTTTTCCAGAGATTTGTTACGGTTCCCTAGAGAAAATGATGTAGACACTGCAATGAAAATTCTGGTTCAGTGGAGTTCCCAAGGCCTCGAAGATGTCCGGCTGGTAAATTACTCTGTTTTGCTTGACCTACCGGGCTCTTCTTCAAACACAGTAACTCTGAAAAACAGCGGTGAATGCTTTTATCCTAGTGGACAACAGTGCAACAGAGAGACCAAAACCCTTCATAGCCAAGACCTCCTGTACTCATACGCAGCTTACTCTGCCAAAGGAACTCTTGAGGTAATACAACCATTTGTCTCTGTCATTTGTGGTGAAATAGAGTTAGAAAACATCAGCTTTTGTTGAACTTGGCTGGCAAAGTACACATGGTGAAATGCCCAGCCTTAAAATAAACGTATTTAGGTAAAATATGATGTGGCCAATGTCGATTCAAACTTAAAAATTAGTCAGACCTGAATGCTTCATCTGATGGTTGGTTTCTTTTTATTTTATTTTTTTTAAATTTTATGAAATTGTCATCTTTTGCTTGGGTGTAAAAAATCTGGAAACTATGTCTAGAGCTACATTTTATCCTTGTTGATGGATAAGTGCTACTGGTTTGAGGGATGCCTGTAGGAAGGGAGAGATGAGGTTTTCTGCAGCGAGGCCGGCAGGAGTGCTGGGCTAATACCTGGAGCTCCTGAATTATGGTCGTGGATCTCACATACTTTCTTCTGTGGCAACTCAATTGACACATCTGCTCCGTTTCCTCTTGAAAACCCCGATTAGTATTTTTATCTTACTGTAGCTTTTGTGAGGAAGTTTTGTCAGGGAAAAGAACCTGCCTGTTGGGATTTGTTACTTGCCAAGTGAACTAAGATCTTGGATTATCTTGTTTTATCCTCTTTACTGCCTTCTCTGGCTGCCTTCCTATGTTTGCTTTCCAAATATATTGGGGGTGCACAAAAGGGTCATCATTCCTGTTTCCTTTCCTAGCTGAGGTAGTATAAATCTCAATAAATATTTCTGAAATATAAAAATTGCGATTTCACTGCTAACTGCATTACTATTGTCTTTCTCCTTTTTAAAATATTGTAGTAGTACTGCAGGGCTTTTTCCATCTTGATTTCTTTATTGTTTAAAAGATATGTTTGTTTTCATGACTTGGAACACTGTAGACTATATAGGAACAGATTGTGAATGGCTTTGGGTTTGGAGGATACCTCTTCCGAAACACCTTTATACTTTGCGATTATCTTAATATTTATAGCATATCAGTTTATTTATAGCATATCAGTAAAATGCAACTGTTGTGTATTTTCCTTTTGTTTGTGACAGCATTTGCCCGTAATCGATAACTTGTAATGCACTATGGAAATCTTGTAAGGAGTCAAAATGGGGAACGTTGCATGATGCTAACTAACCCATTTTATGGACTATTAATATAATTTTGAATCTTGGACTGTAGGAAATACGAGGGCTGGTAGAAAGTCAGATCCTTCAGATTCTCATCCTGATGTCCACGAGCTTCAGCTTCTCTTTCTTAAGAGCACTGAAGCTTTTAAGTCCAAGGGATTTATTCCAGAGAGGAGAAGGAATGGAGTTCTTGTTCTCCTTTGGGAGAGACACTGCTCTCCATCTCCTGCTTTTGTGTACCTTCCATGCCTGCTTTCCATATTGAGTCTCTTGGTCGCTACCTCCATACAGCCTCTGTCCTGGGGCTCTATCCACCCAACAGCTTCAGGGTAAAGTCTGTTGTTAAGAAGTGAAATGAAGTAGGCAAGGGTAGGTCCTAACCCGCATGATGTATGCTTTAACTTTTCCATGGGCAAGTAAAAAGTACTAATGAATGAGTTTGGCTTCTCACATTTATCACTTAGAAACTCAATATGTAATATTATTTTCTCATCGTAACTTAATAAGAGTAACTGTAATGAGATAAAAGTACAGTGTTGGCCTTTGAGATTTATTTCACGAAAATGAATGTGTTGCTAACAAATTCATCAGATTAAAGGAAATCCAATGTTTCAGGAAAAATCATTGATGTTATTACCAGCAACACATGTACCACTTTCCGTTCTGTTTCAGAGCAGTTTTATCTATGATTGAGTTCTGCAGAAATGAGGACCACACGCACTGTGTACGTGCTCCTCACTAGGGGCGTACCTTGGCTTTGGCAAAACTCAAAGCTTGTACTTGAGCCAAAGAATGACTCTCTGTGCACAGTTTTATAGTCAGATCTTTTGAGATACCTAGCACTGTCACAAAACTTCAGATGTTTTCTTTTATTCTTCAAAAAGTCTACCCAAAGTGTCCTTAGATCTAGAGTTTTGCCTAAATGGGAAATTTCCTTTTCTGTTTAGGCTATGGATAAATTGGTAGTGATCTAACCTCCCTGACTTTCAATCCTACACAGTAATCTCTACTATTTAAACGAAGGTAAGTAGAAAAACTTTAAATGAGAAGTAGCAGGTGGTGGCCGTTGCTGTGTTCAGCCATCAGAGGGTGACTTGATTGCTTGCAGTGGAGCTACAAGTTGGGTGTTTTGCATATCTTGCAGTGGGTTGTGATTGCAAAATCATGAGGGTTTTCCTGTGAAGAGTATTCTTGTAACAGCTACTTATAATCTGAATAATTTTCTTTCAAATGTGACACATCCTTAGTAGAAAATTTCTATTGTGTCACATAATCAGGTTGAATTGCTAATATTGCTTCAATGCTGCTGCTGTTTCGTTGTATCTCATTTGTATATTTGCTTTGCTAGAAGTTCAAGCAAATAAAACCATTAAGTTATTGCAGCCTGGCTGCCAGCAGAGCTATAGCTCTACTTTCATGTTGACAAGGTTATTTGTAGAATAGCAAGACTCATTTTCTTTGACCACCTGTCATGTCCATTCATCTTATGGCCATTGTGTACGGGCCATCCAATTTGTGCTTTCTGGTAACAGTCTAAACAGCATTTGTGAGTAAAAATGTGAGCATTTGTGATCTGAAATCTACTTCAAAAACCTACTTAGTGCCATTGTGATGGATGGTGCACTTTACTACTTCTCTAGAATTCATCGGGCCCTGAAAAGGTGACACTGTTTACCCATCGCGGTGACAGGCAGGGCAGCCTACAGTTCTGGAGAGAGCTGTCTGGTTGGTTTTGAAATAGATATTACAGCAGTTATGTAAATAATATGTCATAGACTAGGTCAGTCTAAGGAAAGAATGACATACATGAAATATATGTTTATTAAAACTTAAATATCAGCCACCTTTTATAGAGTTTAAACCTTTTGTCTGCTTGATGAAAACAGGAAAGCCACTCTGGCTAACAGAGTACGTATATAAAGGGAAATTACATTGCATCAAATTTATGTGGTAAAGCAAAATGCGTTGTCAAACAGTATCTAGCCGGTCTCCGAGTGAGTGTAGCATGGTGAATCCAAATGCACTGCTCCCTGCTTTCCCGGTGCGCGGTCATCTGGGAGCTGTGGCTGCGTGTGCTGCTGCCGGCGGAGCAGTGGAGGGACGAGCTGGGGAACCATCGGCGAGAGCCGAGGAGGGGTGTGTGTGAACCCCCCGAGATCCAGCATCCTCCTTTCGGTACCACACTGGTAAGTAGTGTCAGCGGAGGCGCATATTGTAGCCCGTCTGTTAATGCACACGGCCGTGGTCCCCCGAGTGCAGTGGAGTGTAAGTAAGGACGCGTCGTGGCTGGGTGGCCCTCAGGTCAGCCGGGCCGTCGGCTTAAAGCAGCCCCGCTGAGTACGGCGAACTTCAGAAAGAAACAAGCGTTCGGTTTTGCTGTTGCAATGTTCGTCTGCTCTGCTCCCTCTTTCTTTAGCACCGTAAAGAGAAAATCTTAGCAGATGTAATGGTTGGTGTGTTGGGACAACATTCAAGGACAGACTAATTAAAGCAAACTGAAGATTGTATTTACTTTGTATTCTCTGATTTTCTGGAGTTATGTTTGTGTGACCTGAAGTTTTCCTCACCTTCCTTTCACCTTAAGTTTATTCACTCGTTGCTTTATGGAAGTTTTAAGGAACTTTTGGCAATCCTAAATCTGCTTTAAGACTTTGAACAGAGATGCTTAGTGTCCTCCATTACACAGCGTTGCCTCAGCTATATTACACTCCTCTGCCGCTTCAGGATTAGCTGGCTGCTGAACGCACCAAATCCCTGTTGGTTCCTTTGCTGTTCCTCCATCCTTTCCTTTTTTCGTCGTGCCCGCTCTCAGCGAGCCCAGCAAAACATCACTTGGTCACCTGGACCTCACGCACTGAAAGGACTGCGTTGGTTCGGGAACCAGGAGAGGATGCAAGAAAAGTAAAAGCACTGGCATGTTCCTGAAATGGGAATGCGTATGCAGGCCGGGATTTGATGGTTTCATGGACAGAAATGAATCATCCCCATCTCCAAGGCAGTTCTTCCAACACCTGACTACGTCTTCTTTGACCCCTCCTCTGTCCCTGTTCCGTGACTGCTTGGACTCCTCCACTACACCACCTCACTTCCCTGCCATCGTCCACGTTCCTTGACTGATTCTACCCGTTTCTGTGTTCAAAGTGTCTGCTGATTTTAGACATTTATACTCCCAACCCAGCAAGCAATACCTTTGATTAGTTTTGGAGGGGCTGCAGGGAGCAGACAAGTGAGAATGCCGACTGTTTGCCTCTATCTACAATATGCAGAAGACATTCTCTACATCTGTTGATAGCGTATCAGCCTGCTCCGGTTCATTTGTTTTGGTGACATTTTCTCAGCTAAATGAGAAACCACCGCAGAGATTAATGTAACCTGAAGCAATACGAGAAGTACAAACCCATCTGTTAAGCTCACCCAGTGATCTTCCCACCATTCTTCAATCTTGGCAAGATGGGAATAAGGGAAGCGGGACTCGGATTGCTGTCAGATCCTCTTTCACGAGGAGGGGGGCTTGCTCACTTCTTATCAGATAACCCATTTTCTTATGGTTGTGCTGAGATGGCTCCTCTCCCTATCCATCCCCTTCTTTCCCAGGTCCTTCACTCCGCAGGAGAATGGGAGTCATCATCTCCTTTACTGCCTGTCCCTCTAATCTTGCCCACTCGTTGCAGGCTCCCCGCTTGCGTGCCCTGCAGTCGTCTCCCCTCTCTGCTAGGTCTTTACAGTACTGCAGCCCCGTGTCCTTGCAGTACTTGCAGCTCTCTCTATTTCTAGCTCTGCACCAAAAGAGTTTCTCTGGAGGGACGATGCATCAGGAAATCCTTGACCCAACAGCTTCCTTCCATTTGATTTGGTTTCATTGTGCTGGAAATGTGATTAGTGCA